AGACAGCCACACAATATTTACATTGGGCAATACATCTTTACATATGCCGGTTTCTATGAACGGTGTTGTAGCACATGTGTTGTCATCATTATTACACGGTAACGGGCATAAACCGTGTCCTGGGTGGGTGTGTGCTTGTACTTCGGAATCCCTTTCCTTCCAGGGAATTTTAATGTTGGAAGCTGTTTTCACATAATTTACTTCATCTCCCAATGTCTAGGTAATTCTGAGCAGCCAGAAGCACCTGGACAAGAGTCGTGACTACAACTTTCTGCATCCTTGGCTGGGCACGGGTCTCCTCACGTCCACAGGTTGGTGTTGTATATAAAGTATAGGCTCGTGCGGTAAAATTGCCTGCAGGTACTCCTTAACTTAACACGGAAGTGTATAGAAAGTTATACTGTGAAGAGGGTTTTCTAAGTCATGGGAGGTGATACATATCTCGTTTTCATCCAGCTTCCAGGCCACAACGAATTATGTAGTCTTTAAAGAAAAGAAAGGACATGCGACCTCATACTTGATTTGTCATTGGTCATGTCTTATTCAAGAACTTCACTAATTAGAATAGAACAGGAGTCATCACTCCCTAAGCCCTTTTCTGTAGGGGTAAATTCCCTTAGCCCTTGGCTAAAGAACATCGAGCCTGAGGGTACAGGCACGTTTTCTGTCAGGGTTGTTTGCTCCCCTAGCCCTTAGCTAAAGAAAAAAAAAATGCCTGAGGGCACAGGCGTGGAAGTTGGCTGTGAGACCAGAGTACTGAAAAGCAGCGGACAGTTCTTCGATCCTTAGTTTTATAATCCTCTCTTTCTCCTCAGGCACCAAGTGGCACTCGCGAAGGAAGCTCTTGACACCCGCCTTCCACTTCAAGATTCTGGAGGATTTTGTGGAGGTCTTCAATCAACAAAGTAGCTGCATGGTCCAGCGGCTGCAGAAGAAAGCCGATGGGAAAACCTTTGACGTCTTCCCTTACATCACCCTCTGCGCTCTCGACGTCATCTGTGGTTGGTTTCCTAATCCAGGATTGGTTTCCTAGTCTGTGGTCGATTTACTAATGCGGGACTGGTTTCCTAAATTTGGATTGGTTCCCTAATCTGAGGTTGGTTTCATAATCTGTCGTCGATTTGATCTTGGAACAATAAAAGCGATTTCTCTTGTTAACATATTATTAATTTGGCATTTCTGTTCTTCAGTTTTTGGAAGTTTATATATCGTTTTAAACCAGGTTAGATGATAGCATACACAGCAATGTCAGAAGTTTGTTTTTTTATGAAATAAAAAAAAAACGAAACTCCACACGGTTTAGAGTATTGTAAGAACTGGATGTTAACATAATGTGTAGCCAATCACTGAGGAAATTGTCAGCTGCATTTTCTTTTTTTCATTCTTGTATCTACCGAATTCTGATGATTGCTCGTCGGTCTCATGGGAAGACAAGACCAACTGATCGTCATAATCTTCAGAATAAAAAAAGCTTTACAAATGTCTTAGCTGCATGCAAATTCGGCAACAGAATAAAACATGGAATATAAAATGAGCTACACGTTATGCATAAATCCCATATTTATTCCCTTTTCCTCAGAGACTGCCATGGGTCGTGTACTTGGGGCTCAGGCGGACAGCGAGTCACAATATGTCAAGGCTCTTTACAAGTAAGACTTATTTTAAAAATATCTTCTCACATTACACATGGTTTCATATTTGGTATCACGTTGGCATGATATAGCCGTATTGAGGCAATACCATGGTAAGCTATAGAGAGTACATCAAGCGAAAGGTTGTTTAAGCATATACTATTCAAGGGATTGAAAGCAGAATTACGTACTGAGTTCAGGACTGTAGGATCCCGTTCGTTATGAGAGTGTTATTCATCGGGCACTCATTATCTACCTAATCTGCTAATGCTTGTGGAAATTGGCATATGGATTAAGTTGACAAGCAGAAGGAATTTGGGAGTTCAAACACATTAGTGCTTTAGACGTGTTCTTGAAGAATGCGTTGCATGTGGTCATAGCTTTAAATGCAGTAAGAAATGTATTAGAGTGAATAATATTATCACCAATGCTTCTATTTCCCCGCCAAACTTTTCTTTTCCTCTCTTCTTTTCTTCACATAAGAATTGGAACCCTCGTGCAACAGAGGCAATCCCGTCCTTGGCTGCAACCAGACATTCTGTTCAAGCTTTCCGGTTACCAGAAGGAGCACGACGCCTGCCTCAAGCTGCTCCACGAATTCTCCAACGAAACCATCAGGAACAGACGCCTCGACTACCTGGAGAGAAAGAAGAATAAGGATCAGAACACGGCGGATGATGAAGCTATCGGTAACGGGTGGAATTGTTGTGTTAATAAATGGTTTAGTTTATCTGGCAATCCGTATGATTTGATATGAGTGAATTGTTTGAACGGTAAGCATTTAAGCAGGTCGCAGATGAAATCATCATTGGAGATAAGTAATTTATATATATATATATATATATATATATATATATATATATATATATATATATATATATATATACATATACATATACATTTACATATATGTACATATATATATGTATATATGTATGTATACATATATATATATATATATATATATATATATATATATATATATATATATATATAATATGTGTGTGTGTGTGTGTGTGTGTGTGTGTGTGTGTGTGTGTGTGTGTGTGTGTGTGTGTGTGTGTGTGTGTGTGTGTGTGATATCCTTTATATATACAGTACATTTGAAATGAATGCCTCTTCAGTTATATCGACAAGGAATAGCGTAATATAAATAAAGATAAACACAGAAACCGAGAGAAGGCATCTCACTGCGGTCGTTCGAATCTCGCCCAACCCCGCAGGCAAGAAGAAACGACTCGCCTTCTTGGACCTTCTGCTGGAGTACTCGGAGACCGTCTCGCCGCTCTCGAACGAGGACATCCGCGAGGAGGTCGACACCTTCATGTTCGAGGGACACGATACCACGGCCGCCGCCATCAACTGGTCGCTCTACCTTCTCGGCAGCAATCCCGAAATTCAGGTGGGGCGCCAAAAGGCCTTCTTTCATTTCTTTCTTTCTTCCCTTCCGCTCGTTTTTTTTTATGCCAAGCTTAGAAAAGCTAAAATGTTCGATGATCCTAACCTTTGGAGACATTTTCAAGACCCATTTATCATTATTCACTCACATATTTGTATCACTACAACTAATCTTCTCTCTCTAATGTTCCCTCACCCCCACCCCCCTCCGCCCTCAACCCTCCGCCCTCCGCCCTTCGCCCTCCATAGACCCGCGTCCACGAGGAATTAGACTCGATCTTCGGAGGCTCGGATCGCCCCATCACCATGGCCGACCTGAGAGAAATGAAACTAACGGAGAACTGCATCAAGGAGGCTCTCCGGCTGTTCCCCTCCGTGCCCTTCCTCGCTCGCGAACTCAAGGAGGATGTCGTTATCGGTAAGAAAGTCTCTGTGGTTCTCTTGCCCCGTTCCGTGCTTCCATCATGTACGGTACAAGATTAGAAGGTTTTTGGCCCACCAGGCTGAGTGGTTTGTCAGATGCTTGGAGTATTTAAAGTCTTATATCTCTCACTCGCGACACCCGATGAGTATTTAATTTTAGTACAAGATCACTCAAAAGATGCCATGTACCCCAACTGCAGACGATTACTGCATCCCCACTGGCACCACGGTGACGGTGGTGACCTACTGCCTCCACCGCGACCCGGAACAGTTCCCTAACCCGGAAGTCTTTGACCCTGACCGCTTCCTGCCTGAGAACTGTAAGAATCGTCATCCTTATGCGTATGTTCCCTTCAGCGCTGGACCGAGGAACTGCATTGGTGAGCATAAATTAAAAGATTAATAGATAGATGATGAAACAAATAAATAATTATGTAGATGAATAAGTAATTATGGAAATGCAGAGATAGATACGTAAATAGATAAGTATACAGATTATTAGATACAGAAAAAAATAGATAGGTAAGTAGGGATATAAATAAGAAAATAAATACATAAACAAGAGAATCTAATCAAATAAAATCCAATAGAAAAGCTTTAATAATAGATCTTAGACGAAAAAAAAATCGACCTGTCAACCTGACTCACGAATCTCTCTCCCAGGCCAAAAGTTCGCCCTAATGGAAGAGAAGATACTGCTAAGCCACATCATGCGTAGTTTCCGCGTGGAGAGCACCGTCAAACGAGAGGACTTGAGGCTCATCGGAGAGCTCGTCCTACGCCCTGAGAATGGGAACCCTGTCAAGCTTTACCCGAGAGAAGCTCACTAGGGTTGCCAAACTGTCAAGCGGGCAGTCAGTGAAGCGCGTGACAAGAAGCCCGTTTATCGATGACTACTGAACGGTGGTGAAGAAATTTGGAGTATTTTGGCACTCACAAGAGGCGATATTTTGTCAATGAAATGAGTCGCCAAGAGAATTTGTTACCAATTTCATTGTTTTGTGAGGATATATAATATTCTCGCATTTTATTTTGAACTAACACACACACACACACACACACACACACACACACACACACACACACACACACACACACACACACACACACACACACACACTATATATATATATATACATATATATTTATATATATGAATATATATTTAAGTGTGTGTGTGTGTGTGTGTATGTATGTATGTATTTACGTATGTACGTAGGTATCTATGTATACATACATATATGCAGCGTATTGAAATGAAAATATTGCTACAATAAACTTTGCTGGAGACATTATTATAGACAGACTTAATTTTGTCATCTGAAAAATCTTCATTCTTGATCACACCTCTCTCAACTGAATAACAAAGACAGCCAGCCCTGAAGGGAATATTAGAGAGGCGAAGGAGAACCACATTGTTTACAGTGTTATTAAATGACTTTTCAAAAGAAATGTGTCTCCCTTTGAATACCCTGCAGCCCCAAATCTCCGTTTTCTTTAAAAGTACTGTGTGGCTAATCAGGACGAATAAATTACAAAAAATAGGCA